TGTGACCTGTCTTCCTCCACCCCACAGTGAGCACCTTAGGCTGAAAATAAGCCTCTTCAGTTTTTTTCTTTTCCTCACTTTTCCATTTTTAGTGTTCAGGAATCTAAAAAGTTCCTGGTAAGTGATTGAAGATTTGGTTTCCGATGTTCACTCCCCATCTGTGCTTAGCTGACGTGCTCCAGCCCCTTTGCCCTGTTCACTTTCAATGTAATTACAGCACAATTTGTGGTCAGCACAAGAGCCAGTCTTTATAAAATCACCACTTTCTAAATAGTCCTTGTTTCCTTACTGCATTTTGCTGCTATTTAAAAAAAATTACCTTATCTATAGTAATTTGTATTCGAAAAAGAGATATATTGATTTGTGATTCTTGAAGATGTCTAAAATTAGAGCTTCAATTAATTCTGGTTTTGTCAGGGTTCATTTTCCTCTCCACAAATAATACCTTGTTCCTTTAAACCTGTCTGTGTGTGTGTGTGTGTGTGTGTGTGTGTGTGTGTGTGTGTGGGGGTGGGGGGGGACCTCTTCAACATCTCTTTTAAGGGCACTATCCCCATCCATTTGAGCCCCACCTCATGATTTAATCACTTTAAAACAACTCTGCCTCCTAAAGATTCAGTTGCTATTTGTATATTTGAGTGGTATACCAGCCAGCATTCAGACAATAGTGATTTTTATTACACTGTTAATTTTTAAGTTAATGCAAACTAAAATAAGAAAAAGTACTTAACATTTGTGTATATCAGTTGCTGGATTTTTAAACCTCTTATCTGTGTGAACATCCACAGTTGGTTTTATAATGGTCAGACATCAGATGTGAAGTCCTGTTTTCTTCATGTAGTTTGTTTCTTCCTACATATAAGGATAAGGGCTACTCTTGGTCTAGATTCTGGGAGTCCAGGGAGTTCTCTTATCATTTGCTGTGTCTTCTCCCATTTCCTGGATCTCACGACCTGCACCCTGTCCCTTTTTTGATTCCTGTTTTGTTTTTACTTTCCTCCCTTAATTTGCAAGAGCACATGTTATAGTCCTTCTGTTGGTCTGAAAAAGGATCCAGGTTACAGGGGAAAATTTTTATCTTGGCATTCAGTTTAGAGATTTTAGTCCATGATCAACTGCATCCATTGTTTCCAGGCCATGGTAAAACACAACTTTGGGGTTAGGGTGGATCAGCAATGCTCATCTCATGGTAACCAGAAACCTAGAAAAAAGGTAGCCATCCAAAAATATTTTTTTAAAAAGGTAGCCATTTAGCCATTGATGAGGTTTAAGCTTTCATAAGCCAGTCAAGCCTTTGGCACATGGCCTCTGGGGATCTTTTAGAGCAGACCCACAGCACATTTCCTATCTCTAAGAAGTCACGTCTAGGTGACTGCATGTCTGAACATGGCTATTCTCTTTCCCTCCCTTCCTAGGAACAGAGCCACTGCTTCGATGGAAGCAATGTCTCTTCCGAAGCTGGAACTTACTTACCTCCTGCCTTTTGACTTCAGTATGCTATTGAGCAGTATGGCCACATTCTCACTTGTTTCCTTTGTAAGCTGTTTGGGTTTGTTTGCCTGTTTTTAGCCTTCAGGAAACATTTAGGATGTTTCCTTTCCGGTTGGGTGAAACATTAGTGTTCTGTTTTGGCTGAAGATAATGGCCTGTGTGCCAACGCCATGCTTTATGTTGATGTATCTCTCCAATGCTACCTCTCCTGACAGTGGCACTTCTGGGCCCCTCCCACAAGTCCTTGTGGGTACTGTCTTACTCCTGCACTTTTCAGGGCCTTTCTCAGGTTCTGGCCCATACTGCCCATATATATAGATATAGATATAGATATAGATAGATAGATAGATAGACAGATAGATAGATAGATAGATAATGACTTTCAAAATAGTGTCTTTTTCCATACTAGTTTGAGACCAGATTTTACAGCTGAACCCCCTGAAATCACCTGGTAGTCACTGATGACCTCTCCCACAAGAGAGGCCCATTCCCTTGCCTGACATCATCACTCTCCTCCATCCTTGAGCATCAAGGATCTCAGGCATGTCTCTCAACAGCTCTTCCTTCTTCCCATCCTTCCCTGTTGATGCTACTTTACAGTGTCTCCTCCCAGTCTTGCCTTTCTCCTTTTTCCTCAACACTGCAACTTTCAAAATTCCATTTATAAATTATGGGAGGCAATAATTTCAGTTCTCCTGGGGCACTATTTCATGTAGTTGTTTAGGAGTTTTCAAAGAAGAAAGGAGGCTGTGTTTTTAATATAAATTGGTTTTATTTCCTAGGTTTATAGTAGAAAGCAATTAAACAGTTTTAGACACCTTTTGATTTTAGGCATTTGCCTCTGTATTCCTGCTATTCCTTCTGGCCAGCACATTCTTGCTCTAATAGTGTTCATCCCTTTCACGTTAATCTCAGTCTTGTGCTTCTGAGAACTAAGAAATCTCTAAGAAGAGATTTCTTGTTATTCCTTAGAACCTAAGTATTTTAAGTACAGACTACCATATACCAGGCAAACATCCTCCTCATATCCTCCCATCTTCTATGTTAACTGTATTTAGCAAAACTAGTGTTGACTTACACAAGAGTCTATTTATACTTCTAACCAGAGACTTTTAGCAAGTATATGAGACACAATTATGTCCTTAACCAAGGCATAAGCAAATATAATGGAATAGACAACTAATGTCTATGAAACAACTGGATTTTGCTACCTATTAAAAAAAAAAAAGATAAAGCTAGGCAATGGTGGCACACACCTTTAATTCCACCACTTGGGAGGCAGAGGCAGATGGGTCTTTGAGCTCACATACATCCAAGTCTACAGAGTGAGTTCCATGACAGCCAAGGCTGCACAAGAAAAAAACAGTATTAAGATAAAAAAGGAACCAGCTATCCCTGCCTTCCAGGAGCTCCTTGTCTCATAATAGTTAAGTCTAGAAAACAGTGCAACTTTCAAAAGGACGTGTTGTGATATGTCATATGCACTGAGCTAACACACATGAGATAGATAGAACATGGTCTCAGTTTCTGTCTTGAAGTGGTAGGAAGTAGCGTGGGAAAGTCACTTTATAGAGAGCTGCGTGTTCAAAATCATGAAACATGGACTTCAGTGCTGTGTGAGTCACCTCATGAGCCTAAACATGTCAGCACCTGTCTCCAGAGACCAGCAGGATTAGCCTAAGTAGTCATAGTGCCCTCAATATCCACCAGTAACTTACAGTTGGCACAGTGTAATTTCGCAGCCAGCCATATTCAGTCAGTTACAACTGTTCACAATCCAGGAGCAAAACAAACACTTTTATATTTAATTGTCTCCTCATTTTCCTTTCTCCCAAACCAAATCATCTATTTTTCTCTTCCCTGCTCTTCTTTTGCAAGCAAATGTAATACAAAAAGAAAAGTCCTCTTATTTATTTAAATGTTTATTTTTACTGCATTCAGTGTTTAATATTACATGAATTTATGTTTAGGGAAATATAGTTAAATGTGAGTGTAAATTTTTAAAGATTGAATAGGTAGCTATTAAATTGTCTGAAATATTTAATGTACTTTAAAGTAGACATTGAAATACTTTAGAATTTAATTTATGTGTAAATTGACAACCTCCAAATATTCTGCTTCTCACCCACCGTTTCTGATAACACCTCCGAGGTTTAGTTCTCTTCTAAAAGTGTGCAGTAGAAGCAGATGGAAAAGCAGCTGATACATATTTCCATGATGTATCTGTTTATAAACTGTAAATGAGTGTGGGTTTTGTACTCTACCACATTCACGTGGCAACAGTTCTCCATAAGGAGATTGTGCCTCTAAAAGCGGTGGGGGTAGAGGGAGACAGGGGACATAGAGTGTAAAAAAGTTCTTAGGAAAATAGTTTCCTCTGTTTTAGATGCGTCCTTATACCAGGCATCTAGGTCAATAGAGAAAGCCGACAAATACCTCTTTCGCAGGTACAAAGGAGTCCTTGGTGTTCCTTGAAACGGAGGTAGACAAGTAGCTTCTTTAAACTTCTCTCTCCTGTTTTCAGTAATATCCAACATTGTTACCTGTAAATACCTACTGCCTTTCTAGACAGAATCAGCACTAAACCTAAATCCTATGTTAATTATATACAGAATATCAACTTTAATAGTATGAGAAACATGGTCCTTTAAATTTATGAAAGCCTCCCTGGGTTTATCATCTTAACGGTGAAAGATAACTTTCATAAATTCTACAAAAGTCTGGAGTCATGATTATGTGTCACCTCAAGTTAGAGGACAATTGTCCTGATACACACACACACACACACACACACACACACACACACACACACTTTCTCTCTCTCTCCTTCTTTCTCTCTGTGTGTCTCTCTATCACTGTCTCCCCCCTCTCATCTCTCTGTCTCTCTCTCATCTTTCATCCTCTCTCTCTCTCTCTCTCATTCTCTCTGTCTCCCCCAAGTCTCTCTCTCTCTCTCTCTCTCTCTCTCTCTCTCTCTCTCTCATAGGCACATATGTATATTTATATAGCAGAAGCATGTTTACGGAGGCGCGCATGGAAAGCTCATTTCTTACAGTACATTTTGGCAGACATGGCTTCAGTACCACTCTAGAGGCACTGCACCACACCTGGTCACTTTGGTAAACAAGTCTGATGCTTAAACAATAATTTATTTCTAGGAGAGAGTATATGATTTATGATAACCTAGGACACTAACCTGTCCGCAACCACATTCCATTTAAACTCACCGTGCCACTGGTCTATGAAAGCAGTGCTCCCCACTGCATCAGTGAAGCCCTGTCTGTCCTCTTTAGTGGAAGCAGCACAAGCATTGTGAGATGGATTTTATTAAAAGATGGTTGATTTATGACAGAGTTGGAGCCTTTCTTATTTTGAAATGTCAGGCTTAGTCCTGGGATTCTGTCCTTTTCCTCTCTACCATTACCATCACCAGTTTGCATGTGTGTTTTGACATTGCTTTGGTAACCCTGAGGGCTGATGGAATTCCCTGTATGTATCTCTTTTCACAGAGGCTGACGAGACAGGAGTGATGGATAGTCTGCTGGAGGCCTTGCAGTCAGGGGCTGCCTTCCGCGACAGAAGAAAAAGGACACCGAAGCCTAAAGGTGAATTCTGTTCTTGTTTCTTTCTAGGAGACAGTCACAGGGAGGAGCAGTTTCTCCCCTAGTTCTCTTAAAGTCAAATGTCATCAATACACTGCTGTGGCCACAATTGTCCCTAAGTTTCCTAAGTTTGCTTAATCCCTTACAAAGACAGATGTCACAGAGAGAAGCATTCCAGTTGGCTGGTGTCAGTAACACATTAACAAATCAATGCACTGAACCTAGGAAATCCTGATTAGTGTGACAGGTCTCATCTAAAGAACCATATGTACATTGTCCCAGTAGAGTTTGCTGTAGCATAGTTAAGCTGGAAGTAAGAGTCAGTAGCAGTGCTGCTCCAAGCATTTCAGGGCAATGAAACATTGCATTGTCTCTAAGAATACGTAAGCTTGGAAAAATCATGTAATACTCTTTTACATCTCGAGTTGAGCATACATCTATATTAAATTTCTCTCTCTTTCTCTCTCAGCAGATATTCGGCAGAGTCTCAGTCCAATGTCTCAGAGGCCTGTTCTCAAAGTTTGTAACCATGGTAATAAACCTTATGCATAAATTGCATGTTATTCTTAACTACTTCTATCCTGTTGGTCTGCAATTTTTACTATGCTGCTATTGAAGTTCTCAGGTTCCAATATAAGTAAGATAGTAAAAAATGTGGAGATACATGTCTTTGCTGTGAGATAGGGGGCTGCACTTTTCCTTGCTGCATTATTGCCTTGAGTTGCTTCTTCCGTTTTTTCTAATTAGGTTGCAGTTTTGTTAGCAGTGTTGTTTGAAGTTACATTTGTCCATTTCTGGTCAGTGTCATTCTGTGTACCATTTCAAAGCAGTATGATTTCATGGTAACTACTTTTATGTCGTGGCTTCACTGTACATCAAGACACATGGGAAATTTTGTAACCTGTTTCCATTTTTCCCTGCCTTATTTGTCAGTGCAGTTACAAATACTTAAGCTCTCATTTTGGAGAAACCATAAATACCAATGAGCATAATATGCTGTTCCAATGGAATAATGCCTCAGTTGCTAAACTGAAGTGAATTATCTTCACCTCTGAAGTTTACGAAAGACTTGAATCTATTAAAAAGATCCCATTTAAGTGTCCTCTACCTACCTGCATTGCCCTGTCCTCCATTCAGGAGTCCATCTCAGACAGATTCACTCTTACTCTTTTGGTTTCTTTCCTTCAATTTCTCTGTTACTGGATTCTGCTTACCTTCTGTAGTCAAAACCAGGTTCATCTTTTGGGAGTCCCATTGGCTCAGTAAGCTTGCCATGAAAGTTTGATGGATTTCACAAAAAACTACCTGATGGATTTTATTTGAAGCTCTTGGGAGCTAGTTTCTATGAGTATTGAGATGTGCCTGAGGGAGTGTATGCCATGCTTCTAGGTAATCTAAAACAGTTAATGAAGTAAAGTTTAAAAAATAAAAAAAAGCACAGGAACTCAATGATCACCTAGTATCTGTGTAGTATGTTTAGTAAATGCTAAAGAAATGACCAAAAAGATGAAATCTGTAACAGTCTTTTAAATGGATCTTTCAACTTTTTAAAGTATACTTTGGCTTTTGATTTGCTTTTTCTTGTTCTAACAATGGCAAAAAAAAAATGGAATAAGTGATGTTCATTAGGAGTATTTAGTAATTCCAAATCTTAGCTTATGATCTTACACCATCATAGCTTACAGAATTATAGATAAAAGTCAAGAGAATAGTGATAACCTGAACTTTAACGATGATTTTCTTTAGCAGAGGAGTAAATGGAAATCCACAGAGGCTGAAAACCAGGAGGACAGAGCAACTGACAGCTCTGTGGCCATGATTAAATTCTCTAATTCCTACCACACTTCTGTTTTTAATTACATATAAGCATTTGAGCATTTTTAACTAATAAAAGTTTTGTGTTTATGCACATTATTATCAAAAATGTTTGGGCATTTGGATTTATTTCTATTTGGTTAGAAACGTGAAGAGGAAACAGTAAATATCAATATGAAACCAATAAAGACATTTTAATTGATTATATTAGAAAAAAATAATTATCTCCTTTGGCTGCTGTGTTACTTTTATAGTTACTACTCAGCCCCCGTTATAAATTATGAAAAAGAAAACATTACTAAGCACAGTGATTATTTTACTCTAGTAGTTACTATGACAGCATCATAAGAATAATTTAAAATACGTATTTCTGATGCTATAAAGGCAAAAGCTTTGTACGGTAACTTTGTACACCAGCCTTGGGGAACTCAGTCCTTCTGTGGCTGTAATGTTAAAAAATGTCTGGGGTGTAATGGCCTGGCTGTGATTGCTTATAAACTGTGGTATTTCTGTTCATTATAGAAAAGCTGCTGAACATTGCATTCTTACAATGCTAATATGTACTATCTTAATGCTTGGGCTATTGTGATAATTAAGCTAGGAGATTACACAGCAGCCAAAGCAAAAACACCAAAACCATCAAAAATTCTTCTTTCTAATGTTAATATAATCATTATATTGTCGTTAGCAGTTTTACATTGATATTGATTATTTTCCCTTAACAGTTCTGTCCAAGTGAAATAAATCTAAATAACCAAACTTATCTTTAAGAACAATATGCAACAGCATAAAACTTTTTAGGCTAGATATTGAAAAGTCCAGGTATACTTAAGAAAAATCTCTTCTAAAGGATCAGGACAATTTGGAGAAAAGATGATATTTTAGAGTTAATTGTATTCTTTCCAAAAGGTACTTTGTTTTCATTAAAAATATTAATGCTACAATTGAACTGTGGTTGCAGTGCAACATTGAATCTATTTAACTTTTTAATTTGTTTCTGTGTGCTTTATACTAATGCTAGCTATTTATATTTTATGTAAGTATATTTGTTGATAACTTATTTTTTATTTATAAGGTTTTTGTAATTACTTTAAGTTTTGTGGCCTATTCACATTATAATAATATAGAATAAACATTAACTGAGTTACTTTGTGTAGCCAGAATGCTTTCTATGTATTCTGTTTACTTCTCAACATCCATGTTTCCATGTCATAGCTGAAAGTAACCAAAGAGGAAACAAGTCTAGTAGACTCCTTACAGAAATTCTGCCAAAATTGAATCTTTTCTCATGACATCAGAGGCCAAGTTCATAGTGTTTTCCATGCCACACTGAAAAGAACTATGTGATCAGTGTTTGATTCCTTTCCGTGTAGGACTTACTATCCCTTGTGCAACTGTTTTCTCTTGTGGCACAATGTCAAGCTACTTAGAGCCAGTGTCTGGGAGGTTCTACAGCCTCTGGTGTGCTTTGCCTCTTGTTCACAGATGTAACCACTAGATAGCACTGTTTTGTTAGTCTTTAGCTTTACAAAAGCATTCTGCAGGAATGATGGCCACTTTTTATTTCTTTTAATAAAACCACTGTGGAAACATCTACATTAGTTTTAACAAACAGATGCTATTTAGAAATACCATACAAGATGTGGGTTATATATAAACATATTTAAATTACATATACATACATATGTGTATGTATTTATATATGCATACATATTTATCAAACCACAAATACATATATAGCCACATATGTACCAAGCCACAAATTTAATCTTATCAGTTGCTGTTTTAAATTTTTATCTTCATATCTTTTTATTGGCCATTTATTGTTAATATCTTTTTAAAACCATAGCTGTAGTTCCAACCCTCATATATATATACATATGGTTTATTAGAATGACTTACAGGCTGCATTTCATCTAATCCAACAATGGCTAGCTGGGAATGGAAGATTCAAGGATCTAGTAGTTGCTCAGTCCACAAGTCTAGATGTCTCGGGTGGTTTTCAGTATGTGCTGGAATCCTGAAGAAGTAGGCTCTGATGCTAGTGAAGGAATGGACTTGCTAATTTAAAATTGGTGGGCAAGACATCTGGGAAAGAAGTCGGATAGATCCCTCTAAATTGGCGAAGGATGTGAAAATACTTGTGTTCCATATCTATACTCGTCTGAAGGTGTTCAGCTGAGGAGTTCAGGAATCAAGTAGATAGGATGGCCCAGTCATGGACAGCCAGCTTCTTTCTCCAGCCAATCCTGGCTTTGCCCAATAGACCCATGAAAAAAGTGGCCATAGTGGTAGAGATTATGCATGTGCTCAAGATCATGGACTTCTACTCACCAAGGCTGACCTGGCTACAGCTGTAGTTGAGCCAACAGGAGAGACCAACCCTGAGTCCCACAAAAACACAAAATAAAAGACCCAGAGACAGATATTTGGGTTCAAGCTTCAGGCTGAATATCAGAAAAGCAAAGCAGCTGGTCACTATGTTCTTACCTCTTCCTCAGACTGAAAGGACTGATCCTGTCTCCACGAGCTCTCACCAAGCCTCAGACTGTAACCTCTCCTCAGTGTGGCTGGAGAATGAATGCCTCCTACTGACTACTGAAGACCCTGCTTCTATTTTTTTATACCCCTCTAGTGCGGGATTAAAGGTGTATGATCTGTTGCTCTTTTAGACTGATTCAATCTCATATATCCCTGGATGGCCTTGAACTCAGAGAGCTTGCTCTACCTCTTAGACCTGAGTCCTAAGATTAAAGGTGTGTGCCTGGCATCCATAGCTTGTGGCTGACTTTGCTTTCTGAATCCCCAAGCAAGCTTTAATATATCACCAAACAGATATGGATGGCATCTCTCCTGGGTGACCAGCCAGTGACTTTGTGGCATGTTGACTGCATAGGACCACATCCTCCATGGAAAGGACAACTCTGTCCACACTGGAGTTAAGATACTTATTCTGGTTGTGGATTTGCTTTTCCTGTACATAATACTTTTTGCAACACCACTCTGCATGGACTTACAGAATGCCTTATCTACAATCATGGTATTCCACACAGTATTGATCGTGACCAAGGAACACAATTCATAGCCAGGCAAGTGTGACAGTGTGCCTGTGATCATGCAATCCTTGGGTCTTACTACGTTCCCACCTCCTTGGAGTAGCTGGCCTGATAGATGGAATGGCCTTTTGAAGACACATTTACAGCATCAGTATCAATTAGCAGACTGGAAGGTGGGCCGTGTTCTCCAGAAGGTGGCATGTGCTTTCAATGAGAGGTACAGTTTTCCCCATAGCCAGGATCCACATGTCCAGGAATCAAGGAGTGTAAAAGAGAATAGTCCACTCACCACCACCCTTAATGACCCACTAGGAAAATTTTTCTTCCTGTTCCTGTGACCTAAAGTCTGCTGACCTAAAAATTTTGGTTCCAGAGTGGGTAATGCTCCTGGCACGAGCTACAACAAACATTCCATTGAAATGGAAGCTTAGACTTTCCCCTGGATAATGTAGACTTCTAATACTGATAAACCAACAGGCTAAGAAAGGAATGTGTTTGGAGGGATGATAGATCCACATTACCATAAGGAAATTAGATTACTTCTCCACAATGGAGGTAAAAGAGATTATATCTGGAGCTCAGGAGACCCTTTGGGCCATCCCTTTGTACTACAATATCCTGTGATTAAAGTCAATGGGAACCAAAACAGCCTAATCCAGAC